TTGATATCATTATCCACACACGCGCGCGCGCGATGTGTGTGTGTGTGTGTGTGTGTGTGTGTGTGTGTGTGTGATGTGTGATTAATGATATCAATCAATTGGTGATTATAATAATGAACATGTTAACTTTCATCTGTTTATATCAGCAGAAGCGCCACTAATTTTGTCAAATATTAAACTTTTCATAAATAAATGCTAATCATTAATAATATATTACAATCGTAGATTCAAACTGTGATTAATGTTAGCAATAATTTAATATTATTCGCTTACCCGCATCGTTTCGATTGCGAAATCTAACTAATTCAACTTCAGTTTAATTATTCACTTGTGAACGGATCTGAAATCTCGCGACGAACACCACGATCGATAATTATCTCGTGTAGCAGCTGCAATTTAATGGTTCGCGATGATATTCACGATTAATAATATTTTGTGAAAAAAAAAATGTTGAAATAATTCACTCACACGCGTTTCGTCGCTTTTCGAAACGTAAAATCTCGCGGAAACCAACTGTAATTCTCGCGGACACAATGACAATGGTTGTTTTGAAAAGTACGAATACGGCGCGAAGTTGGCCGTAGGAGAAACGGCGACTGTGGCGCGACGGGTACTTCAATGTCGTTGTGCCGGGAGCGCGTGTTTGTTGCCATAACCTTTCGCGTCGTCGCTCGCCTTCGGACAAAAAATGTCGTGCACGGACTTGTTGCGCCTGAACGAGAAGAGGCTGTTCAAGGATATTAAGGCGAGTCTGTCGGCCGGCATCAAGGAGACGCGGAACGTGCTGGAGATTCGCGACAACGTGCTGTACGTGTGGAACGCCGACAAGTGCTGCGTGCTCACGTTCAACGTCGCGGCGATTCGCGGCAAGATCGACGAGGACATTCCTTATCAGGTGAGAAAAAATGATTATCATCGTGCATATTACGCGCTCGTACAATAGTCGATCGTCGAAGGGTTTTTCTCGATCGAACATAAATAGGCGAGAGCGGCATCATGCCAAATTGCGCGTTGCGTCGTGCAACCTAACCTAACCTTGACGACGCGCCGATTGCTAACGCGTGCGCCGCTTCGCTGTGTATTACCTCCGAAGAGACAGCCGTATTTCCTCACAATAAGATATTCTCTGATGTCTGGCAAATTGATATAGGAAGTAAAAGTGAAAATTGAATAGAACTGATATTATCATCGACTATATTGCAATTATGAATGATGAATTTTATTACATTTAACGAGATTTGTTACGCTAATATTCGCTTTTGAATTATTTGCTTATATATTTCTTTGACGATTGAACTCAAAATGCAGTACGAAATAAATAAAATATACACCAAATTTAATCGCAGTATCATATACTTGTTATCACACTAGCTTGTATCAACACTTGCACTTATTCTATCAAATGTAAAAAATATTATTTTTTTCATTAATTTTCATAAATGAAATGTATAAAATAACTGCAGTTTGTAAATCGTAGGACAGATGAATGTATGAAAATATTTATTGTTATGCATAAGTATTTGTTATTATTGCAAACATAAATCAAAATACATACAAACATATATATATATATATTTGGTAATCTATATATATATTTGGTAAATTGCAATTAATTTCATTTTTAGTTTTATTTTTAATGCATATTAACATAATAAATGTTTTCCACCATCCACAAAAAATACATTACAAAATCGTAAATAACTAAGAAAAATTGATTTCCATTTCTTCAAACATCTCAGAAAGATCAATTTCGAATGATCTGTCTGTATGATTCTATTTATATACCTATAATTCTTTTTTTTTTAAATACACTGATTGTTTAATTAGATATGAATTAAGTAATGTAAATATGTGCATATAGATGTGCATCTATATGCACATATTTACATTACTGCACGGTGACCCATTTTAAACTATAAATGAAAAATTTTGGAAATGACTTTGAAATAAAAAAATTGAACATGTAGATATTGAAGAAGTTCAAAGAAGTTGTTAAAATATTGCAGAAAAAATTCCACAAGTGAAGAAATATCGGAGATTTCAAAGCCATCTTTAATGTTTTAAATGGAAGCTAGTACTTTTTTTACTGTATGATGAAAGAGCATGGCGAGACGAATTCATTCATATCTTGTTGTAATATTTTATTATCAAATTTTTTTAAATAAATTATTAAAATCATTATGAATTTTAAATTAAATTTCAACAAGTTTCATTTGTCCCGTTATATTATTTTTATCGTTTATAACCGTAATTTTCTGAATAATCAGTAATAATAATAGTCGCACGCTTTTTCATCATACAGTAAAAAAATAACGAGGTTCCATTAAAAAAAAAAAAAAAAAAAAAAAAAAAAAAAAAAAAAAAATGGCTTTGAAATCTCCGATATTTCTTCACTTATGGAATTTTTTCTGCAATATTCTAACAACTTCTTTGAACTTCTTCAATATCTACATGTTCAATTTTTTTAATTCAAAATCATTTCCAAAATATTTTTTATCTCTAGATTATAAAATGAATCATTCTGTATATTGAAACAAATTTGAAAAGAAATTTTGAAAAAGCACAATATGAATTTGTCTCTTTGGAGCGTTTGGGCTCTTAAGAATACCAGCACATTTGCGGGAAACGATTGCGCTAAATGAAAGAGAAGCGGTGGAATATCGCGGTGAGAATTGGTCAAGCGGTACATTTCGTTCTCGCTCGCCGCTGGTGCTTTTATTTCATTTCAATGGCACCGCGGGATCAGCGGGTACATTAATGCCTCGGCGCGCGAACGCAAAAGAGCGGCGAGGGGATAATTTATAGGAAATGGGTTGTTCGACGCTCCGGAGTAATTTAATTAAAATAAATGTCCGCGGAGGAGCGTTGCCCGTACGGACGGACCCGCGGTTCCACGACTGCGAATAAAATGCAAATTCAGACCCTTCATCGGGGAGAGGGTCGCGTACGTATATGCGTATAGGTATAGGTAGATAAAGGTGCCCGCAAGGGTGACGAGAGGGTGGAGAAGAGAGGTAAGTGTGCGAATGGAGGGTCCAACGGTCTCTCGGTGCCGATCGTCGCCCGTTCATCCGTTGATTCGATAAGCCCCGTGTTCGGTTAATTTCACTCGACCGTCGTTTTAATAACGCAATGACGTAACATTTCGTTTTACTTCACAACACCGTGAATTAATCGTCATTGACCGTCATTAAGAATCGATTAAAAACTAAAGTATTCCAACCGCACAATGCACGAGTTAAACGACGGAAAGGGTAGCAAACTCTGTATAAAATTACGATAACTCGAGATTTTAACGAATTGATGCGCTAAATAGATTGGATGCGATATTTGGATCGTTTCTTTGAAGGCATCGATTATGATTAATAAACGCCACTGACATAATGTCGCATCGCGACAGCCACTTTGCGCTCGCTCGCGCTACCGGTGTACGCGCTCGGGCCTGGCTGAAATATCGGTCGTAAATAATAAAAGTTAGCGAGGTTCCTCTCTGGCGCGCACGCCGGGACTTTAAACCGGAAGATAGGTGTCGCAGGATACGGACGAGGGAAGCGGTGGGCAAAAGTGACGGCGGGTCGGGGGACGGCGATGCGGTGCGGGACGGAGACAAAGACGCGCCATTGTCAACCGCTCCGCCATCGGAACCGCCATCCGCCGCGGGAAACTTTGAATCATTTTTATTGCATAGAGTTATCTTTGTTACCAGCGGAACGAACGTCTAAACGCGCCTTCTCTCTCTCTTTCTTTCTCTCCCTCCTGCTTGGGCTGTCTCTCTCTTCCTCTCGCGCCTTTCGCCAGGTCATTCCCAGCCCTCGTCCTTCGTCCTCGCCTTCCTGCCGGTTACGCTCTCTTTCCCTTTTTACCCCCGTCTCCCCGTCTCCGACGGCCGGGCCGGGAGATAATACGAACGCGAAAGCGTTCACACCCCTTTGGCTGCCCAAATGGAATAAGTTCTTTAATTCGCGGATTTACCGCCGGGCAAACGAATCGCCCGCGCTGTCGCCGAGATAATATTCGCCGGACGAAAGAGGACCGCTTCTTGGCCGAACTTTTCATTTCGCGGCGATTTCTCGAGCACTCACTCGAGAACACCTCGCTAAAAGTAAGTGAATTTTGTGGAGTGTTAAGTTGCTCTCATCTGAAATACGTAAAACGAATTTGATATGTCGTACAAAGATCAATATCGGCAAATGATAAAGTGTTGATAGAGAGACCTTATATATTTTGAGATATTAAGTTCTTAATATATTATTATTCGTCAAAATTTCAACAATTTTTATATCGAGATGATTATAAATATTATATAGCAATAGGATAAGAGAATATATGAATATGAAATATGAATATGCATATATATAAAATAAAAATTTAATTTTTTTATACAAAATACGCGGTACTCGTATTATCATTTATATCTTTTTATGCTATCTCTTTCATATTATCTACTCTGATTATAAACGCGAAACGCAGACGGTCACAATCGCGCCAAGGTAAGAATTACTTCGATTCGGGAGCGCAGCACGATGCCAACGGCCTACGTGAGGCTTTCTATATGCCTCGCGACGTATAAAAGGGACAATCTTATCTAAATTAAAAGTGCCGGACCCCGTACGAGACGGTCGAGAGGTCAGCGGCGCGAACAAAATAGAAAATTTCGGGCGAATTCCTGCCTCCGCCGCCAACCACCACCGCCGCCGCCACCGCCGCCGCCGCCGCCGCCACCGTCTCAGAAGCGAAGCGGAATATCGCGTAATAAGCGAAATCCTCTCGACGATAATTAAAAAGTAATTTTACGGTGACATTTGTAACTGCGGACCCGCCTACCCGTCCGTGGTAAATACACTCGCAGCCGCGCGTCCTGTGTGTACACAAGCAATAACTACGATGTACGGACCCATG